AGTTAAGTCTAAGTTATTGATTGCATTATTGAGTTCTATAGTTTCTTTGTTCAGTTTTTGTCTGGAAGATCTATCAGTGGTGAAAGAGGTGTGCTGAAGTCACTCAAAATCATTGTGTTGTGTTGTGGTCAATTTGACTCTTGAATTTGAAAAGAGTTTGTTTGATGAACATAGATGCTCCATTGTTTGGGGTATATATATTTATAATTGTTGTATCTTGTTGGTCTGTGGTTCCCTTGAGTGGTATAAAATGTCCTTTATCCCTTTTGATTCACTGTAGCTTACAGTCTACTTTGATATGAGAATGGAAACCCCTGCTTGTGAGTGGTATGATTTTTCCCAACCTTTCACCTTCAGTCTGTGGATGTCTTTTCCTGAGATGAGTCTCTTGGAGTCAGCATATTGTTGGGTCTTTTTTTTTTTTTTTATCTAATCAGCTAGCCTATGTCTTTTGATTGATGACTTTAGGCCATTAACATTCAGGGTTATTATTTAGACATGATTTGTATTCCCAGCCATTTTTGTTTATTTTTGTTATTTAACTTGACTTTGTTTCTCCTTTGATTTGTTTTTCCTTTAGTGTAATACCTCCCTCTGCTGATTTTCATTGTTGTTTTCATCTCCTCTTTATAGAATATTTTGCCAAGGATGTTCTGTAGTGCAGGTTTTTTAGCTGTAAATTCTTTTAACTTTTATTTATCATGGAAGGTTTTCATTTCATCATCCAATCTAAAGCTTAATTTTGCTGGATACATACAAGATTCTTGGTTGGCATCCATTTTCTTTCAAAACTTGATATATGTTGTTCCAGGATCTTCTTTTCAGGGTCTGAGTTGAAAAATCTGTACATAACCTAATTGGTTCTCCCTATATGTAATCTGATTCATTTCTCTCGTGGCTTTTAATATTCTCTCCTTATTCTGTATGTTAGGAATTTTTATTATAACGTGCCTTGGTGTGGATTTGTTGTGATTTTGTATGTTTGGCACACTGTAAGCCTCTTGTATTTGGTTTTCCAATTCATTCTTCATGTTTAGAAATTTTTCTGATATTATTTCGTTGAATAGATTGTTCATTCGTTGTTCAATTGATTTGGAATTCTATGCCTTCCTATATCCCAATAACTCTTAAATTTGGTACTTTCATGTTATCTCATAATTCTTAAATGTTCTGTTCTGGTTTCTTACTATTTTCACTGTGTGGTTCACATTCTTTTCAAGATTATATAGTTTGTCTTCATTGTCTGAGGTCCTCTCTTCCAAGTGCTCTAATCTGCTGGTGATGCTTTTAATTGAAATTTTAATTTGGTTTATTGTTTCTTTCATTTCAAGAATTTCTGTTTGGTTTTTCCTTAGAACCTCTATCTCCTTATTGAAGTAATCGTTTGCTTCCTGTATTTGCCTGTGTAGATCTTTGTCAAAATAATTTTTTGCTGTCTGTATTTGCTCTCTTATATCATCCTTTAATCCACAGAACATTTAAATTATGTACATCACCAATTATTTCTCTGTCATTCCTTCTGCTGTGCTGCCCATGGATTCTAATACTGTGGTATCTTGATTTGTTTGAGCCACTTTCGTCCCTTGTCTTTTCACGTTGCTCATGTGTCTTCCCTTCTAGCACTGTGGATCTGAGGTGTTACTGTTTTTACTCTATAGGCTTATAGTGCCTCTGTAGGGTTCCAATACCTCTCCTTGGAGGACAATGTTAGCAAGTCCCAATATAAACAATATACCACCTAAAAACAAACAGTTGCTAATAGGCATTTAGGGTTTTGTCACAATATTCAGAAATGGTAAATTCAATTATTATCTATAATATAATCAGTAGGTTTGTAAAAGGGTTTACAGTTTCTGATGGTGGACAAAGATCCAGGTGTAAGGTGTAGGAAGATATGCTAAGGAGGTAGGAGGTGAGGATATAGAGTTATTATATCATAGGAAGTGTGAAAGAGAAATCTAAAGAAGAAGATTAGTAGCAGATGAGTAGAGAGAAAATCTGGGGTAGACAAGTAAGTGGGAATACAGTAGAGTACATAAAACAAATACATATATTAAGAAAAATAAAAATTTTAAAATAGTAAAAATTGGAGGAAAAAAATAAAAGAATATATAACACAACTGTAATATACTGTTCAGTTATCTCAGTCCTCAATACCCTATTTCATGCAAAGTACTTGGTTTCACATATGTTGGGGATGTGAGGGTGGAAGAAGAAAGAAAAAAATATCTCAAAGGAAGAAACAAGGATTGTTTTGGTTGGAGATCAGTATCTTTCCTGCTTCCTTTCTCATCTAATAAATGGGGTCATCTCTTATTAGCTGGTATTTCCACCCTCAGGAAGATGAAGGTAACCAGGGAGAGTGGGTTATTCCTGGGTGGAGGGCACCTGGAAGTGGGGTGTGGCACTCGCTGGTCCCCCAAAAGGAGACTGCACCTCAAGGATCTCTTTTGGGAACTGCTCCTATGAAGCGAGTATCTGGTCTTATCTCCTTATTTCACCTGAAGACTCCCAGTTCCTGGTCTCTGTTAGTCTCTAAACTGCATCACACTCACCCTCTCCATTACTGCTTCCTAATTAGGAACCTTTTATTGGGCTCCTGATTGTGGTGCTTTGGCACATGCTGTACACCTGCCCCTCTGAGAGCTGGTTTTTTGTTGGGCAGACACTGCACGGCAGTTGCTGGGAAGAGAAGGGAGTTAGAAACCAGGTACCTGGCCAGTCAAGTTCCAAACTGGGAGTTGCCCCCACTAAAGATGGTAATGAAGGTGACCCAAGATGGAAACATTTGCTTTCAGTGATGAGGTGTCAGGTCCAGTCAGAGGAGCTGGGCAATGGTGTTGGATTATGAGTTCAGAGACTGGGTCTGTGGCATGCAGCATGTGGCTGTGGCTGTCTTCAGAGCCTCTGTGAAGTTCCCTGGTGCAGGTGGGCTACTGCAGGTAGGAGACTATCTCCATTGCTGCAGAGTCCCAAGATGAAGGCGACAGGGGAAACTCCACGTTGGTTGATGGGAGTCCACACAGGAGTGGTGACTGGAGATCCTGCATGTGAGTAGCTGCCAGGTGTCCTGCATGGGAGCTGCATCTGGGATTTCTGCTTTGATGGGTGGCAGAAAGTCTTACGCAGGTGCTGATGACAATGATCCCGCTTGGACACCCGGTAGTCCTGCTTGGGAGAGTAGTTAGGAGACCTACTCTGACCCTGAGGCCTGGAGCCTTGCATGGGCACTGCAGCCATGATTCCTGTGTGGAAGCAGGAATATCACTCACAGAGAAGCAGTATTCTCACTTCTTGAGTCCCAGGTCACAGAGTGACACAGAATGCTGCCTCCCTCAGGCCCGCCATCTTGCAGTCTTGGGATTCTCAATGTCTCTCTCTGAAAAATGGAAATGCCATAATTTCGACACCATGATTTTTCTTATATGTCCTCCAAAATTTCTAACAGTTTAATGATCTCTAAATAAATGTTTTTGAAATGCATTTATAAGTAAATAAATATAATAAAATTATAATACGCAGATTACTTTTCAAGTCCTGACTGAAAAAAAAAAGGCTCTTTTTGTAGATAAAGTATGTCCTTTGTCTTCCAAATAGAGTATAAGGTTCCTAAGGACACAGTGCAAGTGGTGAGGATTGAACCCAGTTCCTCAAAAACACATACTTTTTGAGAAAAGAATGGATGAAAGAATGAATGCATTTTTAAGAACACACTAAACTTTCACCTAGATCCTTAAATCAAACCCAAATATTTAACAATTTACCTTTACATAATACAAACATTTAAACAGGACATGAAGTATAATCTGGAATCTAAACCAAGTTAGAATCATTATTAGAAAGGATTCTCAGCTAGGGTGACAGCCAGCAGCTGAGGGTTGACTTCAGATAGTTAAACAATCATTGATGCTCCATCACATGACCACTCTTCTGATCCAAATCTCTCCTTTCCCAGTTATAGAAACTGACTTGGAAAAGTTATCAGTGGTTCATGCAAGAGACCCCAGCTTCTTTTGTCTTGGCCTTTTTGTTTTTGTTTTGTTATTATTGTTGTTGTTGTTTTTAACTTGGCTTGTTTTGTTTTTTTTACAGTATATTGCTTTTGTTTTTTTAAATAAAAATTAAAATTTAGAATTTTTCCAGTAGAGCCACAATTATGGGGCACTGGTCCACAACAAACAACTTCTTAAATTGTCATACAAGGGGAAATCTTTCCAAACAACTTATTGGGAGTGGAAATGACCACTTCTTGAGTAAACATAGTTCAACTATAGATACTAATTAGCAGTTCCCTTAATAATTAATTTTAAGGTGGTGAATGTAGGTAATGATATATTTAAAATCACAAAACTGAGCTTTTGAGTGTATTTTAAACAGAAAATACTGTTTTCTTTTTTTTTTCAGATGTTGATGGACTTTTATTTTGTTCATTTATTTGTATGTGGTGCTCAGAATTTAACCCAGTGCCTCACACATGCTAGACAAGCGCTCTACCACTGAGCCACGAAAACATTGTTTTCATTGTCATTAAAATCAAATGCCTTCTGATATTTATTAAATAAAAATAAACAATATAGCACTGAGGTTGTAGCTCAGTGGTAGAGCGCTTGCCTGGCACAAGTGAGGCACTGGGTTCAATCCTCAGCACCACATAAAAATAAGTAAAGAAAGATATTTTGGCCATTTACAACTAAAAAATATTAAAAAATAAAGAATATAAATTAAAATCAATTTTCTCCAAATTTTATTATTTTTAAACTTTTGTCAGAATTATAATGTAATCTAAATTTAAGAAAATCTGAATATATTTAATAATACAAAATTGACAAACCTAATTCAAATGATATGAGAGTGACATAGTGAAGTAAAATGTTTCCTGAAATCTAGTACTAAAGTAAATACAGTTTATAGTTATTTATGTTGTAATTTAAAAAAAAGAAAGTGAAAAATTAAAAAAAATTAAAAAAAAAAAACTTTATGTACATTTACATGTATTTCAGGTCACTCCAGTGGAACATCTTAAGAAAGCTTCCTCCTGATGGCTTCAGGAAGTACCACTATCTTCAAAAGCTGTAAGAAAAAAATAAATTCATGATATTAAAATTAATATTTGGGGGTGGTAGAACCCAACATTTATACCATCGCTTAAATCTAATTTCCCTTCAGGGAATTATTTAGCTGTTACCTGGAGATTTTTCTGAATAGTTCTAAAAGGCATTCTAGAAAAAAACCTGAGATACCTATTCCCAAAAAGATGGGAGCATGTGTGCTGTGAATTCTCTACCACACTTCCCCAAAGTGGAAATACGTACACAGGTGCTTTTACTCTGTATGAGCCTAGCGTGGATCCCCTCAATGCCCAGCTTAGAGAACAATGCAATTATCTTTTGCCAAATTTGCCATCAAGACTAAAGAGTGAAGAATTTTCTTCCATATGTTCACAAATCTGGTCTCTACATAACACAGCAAGTCATGGTTTGAAACCTCTGGGCATGTTCTGGGGGGACTTGATTCCATTTCACATTGGCCTTGTACGTCGTTTTATGTTGCCCTCAGGTGGTATCTGACTTGATTTTTCCCATCTACAGTGACCCAGATGATGTTTAACTGTGATTTAGGTTAACTTTGTGATTAGATCTTATTGTCATATACTTGAATTATTGTGTTAACTCTATAACTAAATCACAGGTGCTAGAAAACATCTCAGAGTTCCTCAGATCATTTTTATAGATGTATTGGTTTTAGTTTTCTTTTCATACTAGAGAAAACTAGTGTAGTAATACATATCTGCACTTTTTTTAAATTTTTTTTACTTGTTGGCAAACCTTTATTTTATTTATTTATTTATATGTGATGCTGAGAATCGAACCCACAGCCCCACACATGCCAGGCAAGCACTCTACCACTGAGCCACAAGCCTAGCCCCATATCTGTACTTTTTTAAAGAGAACGGGTGAAAATAGAATAGAATCAAAATAAAAAATAACTACTTCATTCAGTTAAATGTTCTAAAACCTTATATAATCTGCAGAAAAAAATTATTTTATACTTGAAAATTAAAATTTGAATGCAAATGATTTTTAAGAACTTCTTGCTGAACATTAATCAATATACAGAGAAGAGCTTTTCAAACTTAACCCTCTACTAGAGGCCCTGGTTTTGATCCGCAACACCAACAAAAATAAAAACAACAATAAAAAATTAAATAAATTAAATTTTAAAATTAGACCTAATACAAAAACTTCAAGAAGTTACTTTCTTATTTTAGATTCTAATTTCTGAAGTCTAAATAATTTTTCTGATCTATAGCACCACCTTATGTTCATATGTTTAAAAGGAGTTAGACTACAAGGCTTTCAAATGCAGGTTTACATAACACAGAAGTTGAGCATTTTTGCACAAAAAACATTGAATTAATTCTTAAACAGCCAATTTGTTTCAAGTAACAAAATGATCAAAATAATTTTATAACAAAAAGAAGAAAAAAGCTTCTACTTGATTATTGAAAGTATAGCTTGACTAAGTCATTACAATAGTTACAATAAACATATAAATATGTTAAAGCTTTTCTTTGAATTAGTGAGAAAGATTAATTACCTGTTACATGATTAGGCCCACAGCATGTTATATGAAATTTTTAGATGCATAGTAAATTTCATAAAACATTTTACAATCAAAGTTACATTTTTTTGCAGGTTGGAGAATAGCAAATCTATTCTGGTTATTGATTTCCCCTCTATTGTTCCTAAAATTTATAATGAATTATATATAAATTTAGAACACCCTAAAGAACAAAGGCGACCCACATTCCAAACAAGAATGCAGCCTTGCTACCCTTATTTTGTCATTTCCCACAACCTAGGACAAATACACATAGAAATGCAAAGGTTTATGTGGGCTTATGCTTTACAATAGACTATATACTGATACCTCTTTCTTTTGACCTCCAGTTAACTGAAGGTCAAACTGCTAGCATTACTTGAGTTGCCTATATAAGCCTGCATTCTTGTTTTGACACTCACTCCAATCTAATTTATATTCTTTCAGACTTGACTTTTTTAATTTATATTTTTTACTTTTGCCATTTATATTCCTTGTAAGTTGCCTCAAACACTTTTGGAACAAGGCTTGGGGTGTCTAATAAAATTAAAGTTGATTGGCTTGGATGATTTGTGATTAACATGGAATATTCTGTGTAGTATTAAAGCTGTCATACACTTACAGTTTTGCCAGCACTATGTTAAAAATTTACTTAAAAATTTGAATAATTATAGCAGGACATGTTTTAAAAAGTCTGGCATCTAGGCTTAACTCATTAGTGACTGCTTTACTACACATAAAAGTTTTATCACTAGTAAATTCAAGTCGTAAATTTTAGTTAATATCTACATCTTTATAACCAGAATTTCTAAATAAATACTAACCAAAGCATACATGAATTTAATAGCAAAACAAAAAGACATGGAACTGGGGTTGTGGCTCAGTGATACTGTACTTGCCTAGCACGTATGAGGCCCTGGGTTTGGTCCTCAGCACCACATAAAAATAATAAAATAATAAAGGTATTGTGTCCATTTATAACTAAAAAACTTTTTTAAAAAAAGACATGATATTCACTTTCTCTATGTTATTTTATTATGTTTAACTTTTTTCCAATTTTTAAATTTTGGTTCAATACAGATAACATAAAATTTACAATATTAACCATTTTGAAATGTATATTCAGAGGCCTTAAGAACATGTGAATTATCATGCTACCATCAGCCCCATCCATCCTCAGAATGCCTTTCATCTTGCAAAACTGAAACTGTTTCATTGTTTTCCTTATTAATAATCATTTTTCAGGTATCTGCAACACAATAAGATTAGGTCTGTATCCATCTCTGCTTTCAAAGGACTGCACAGCCTTACTAAACTGTAAGTACCACTGCTAATTCATTTGCCCATTGCTAATTCAGAGGTCTATCAGTCTGACCTATTCCAATCCAGCCCAGCCCACTGCTCAGGTCAATGCCAAGGGACACATGGCATTGTGACTGAGCATGGGATTCAGAGTCAGACAGATTTCATCACTCACTACAAGTGACCTTGAGCAAGTTATTCATTTGTTTGTTTGTTTGTTTATTGAGCATCAGTTCCCTCTCCTGTAAAGTACAAATTATAATAATACCTTCCTCTCGGGATCATGGTTGAAAACAAATGAGAAAATTCCTAGGCAGCATTAAGTACTCTGAGCCTAATACATAGTAAGCACTCTGTGTAAATTAGCCATGGAGACATGATGGTTGAATGAACTTAGTCAAATTTAAAAAGCCTAATGGCATATTCATAAAGAATAAAAAAATGCAAGGACTTCCCCAGTTACTCAGTTTCGTTTGTTTTATTTTTGCTTTTTGGTGCTAAAGATTGAACAAGGACTTTGTGCCTGCTAGCATGCACTATGCCATTGAATAATATACCCCCAGCCCTTCAGTTGATCTTTTTTCACTAATCCTGCTTTTATAAATACATAAAGCACCATAAGTTTTAAAAAAAAAAAAACAAAGATTTTGCCAGATGTGGTAGTGCACACCTGTAAGCAACTTAGTGAGATCCTGTCTCAAAATTTAAAAAAAAAAAAAATTGAAGGTTGGAGATGTAACTCAGTGATAAAGTGCCCCTAGGTTCAATCCCCAGTACCAAATCATCATCATCATCATCATCATCAAAGATTTTTAAAATATACATAATATAAAATTTACCATTTTAACCATTTTAAATGTACAATTTAGTTATTAGACACAGCCACCTTGTTGTGCACAACCATCTTCTTCCAGAACTTTTCATCTTCTCCACATCTGTTTAAACTGTCCATTTCCCCTGCCTTTAGCCCCTGGCATCCACCTTTCTACTTTCTGTTTCTCTGAAGTGACTATTATAAGAACTTCATATAATTGGAATCATAAAATATGTGTGTTTTGTATCTGATTTATTTCACTTAATGTAATGTCTCTGATGTCCATCCCTGCTGTAGCACGTGTCAGAATTTCCTCCTTTTTTAGGATGAAGAATATTCCACTATATGTACAGACCACCTTGTCCATATCCATTCACCTGTCATGAACATCTGGGTTGTTCCACATTTCAGCTATTGTGAATCATGCTGCTATGAACATGGGAGTACAAATCTGTTTGGGTCCCTGCTTCCAATTCTGTAAGCCCAGAAATGTGATTAATGGATCACAAGTTTAGTTCTACATTTGATTTTTTTTTTAAGGAGTTTCCATACTGTTTTCCACAGCTGCTTGCACCATTTTCCTTTCTGCATAAGAGTTCCAAATTCTCCACACCTTCACCAACACTAGTCATTTTCTGGTTTTGTTTGCTTGGACAATAACTATCCTAATAAGTGCGAAGTGGTACATCATCGTGCTTAAGAGCAAAGCTTTTGTAAATAGAATTTCTCAAAGTTCATTGTATTTCATGTATTCATCCATTTCGTATCAAGCAGCCTCTTAGAAGAAGCAAATACAATCTGAATCACATAAATAACTCCCTGGAGTCCCATTTCTGTCCCTTTGGTTTTTATCCTACCCCATTCTCTATCCTAACCAGAGAAACTCGTTCCCATCGTGTTTCTAGTTCATAATGGCAGAGAGTGAAATTTGGCCAAGAATATCTAGCAAGGATATACAAAGCAGAGGGAAGCCACAGGAGACTCAGAGACTCACGGAGCCACAGTGGCTGTGTCATCCTGCCTTCTCCCTCACCCCTGTCCTTCTTATGAATGTGCCCAAAGTCAGTACAGGACACAGTCTCATCTGGCTCCTAACTATCTTTCTCTCCACGAATCTGTGCAAAACTTTCTAAACAGAATCTCTTTGGTGGATATTCCGTGGATAAGGAGGAAGGTTGCACAAAAACTGGAGAACAAATGTCAAAGTGTCCTCCGTTTCTTTCCATCTTTCTTTCCCCTTGGCACTGGGAATATTGCTTGAGGGTTAAAGATGCCACCTAACTCTATTTTTTCATAAATCATCATAAAATACCAACTCTTCTTTTATCTAAAAGTACTCATTCACCTCTACAGGGTGCAAGGTCTTCAGGTTGACACCGTGGGGGCCATAGGATTAATGAATCCGACGGCTGCCTCAAGGAGCTGCTACCTGAGTAGTTCAGGGAGAGCACTGAGCTAAATTGGGGAGGTTCAGTCCTCTTGTTCTCTAGAAGCTTCTGATCTAAGATGAGGAAACAACACTAACATGTGCACCATAACTAGAGACGGATGAAGAAAACATTATTCCTAAACCTGCATTGTTCAGACCTAAACCGCTATTAGGGTTCGCTGTAAAAAGTGATGGTTTGGGGCTCAAAGCAAAGGCTGACTCTGAAAAATGAACAGGACTGGGCTACACAGATGAGCATGAAGTAAAACAGCAGATCAATTGACTTTTACCTGAAGGGATGGTTGTTGGTTCATAAAACAGCTTTCAGAAGGGATCAGGGGAGGTACTAAAGCTATTTTTTTTTTTTTTTTGGACTGGGGATTGTACTCAGGGGCACTGGGCCACTGAGCCCCATCCCCAGCCCTATTTTGTATTTTATTTACAGACAGGGTCTCACTGCGTTGCTTAGCGCCTCACTTTTGCTGAGGCTGGCTTTGAACTCACGATCCTCCTGCCTCAGCCTCCCGAGAGGCTGGGATGACAGGTGTGTGTCACTGCGCTCGACGGAACAGTGTTTTTTTAATGTGGTGTTTTCCCCTT